TAATAACTCTGTGAATCCAAACAAAGCATAGAAAATACAGTACGAGATCATGCTATATTAGAGGGGAAACATAGTAATAACATAGTCCATCCAACCATATTTACACAATGCCATGCCAAAGGGATGCAATGATATGCCAATGTCGCTCCCCATTTACCAAAACATTTCTGTTTTTCCATTCCAAACTGTTAAATGCAACCCGACCCATAGCAGCTCTATGGCGTCACGAAAGAAGGATTGACTAATTGTCCAAGACCACAAGGTAACTCCAGGGCATCATTTGGGGCCTAGGTAGCTCAACCACACTAGGGTCTCTCCCTAGTTCCCTCTAGATCACATTAACGCCACGGATCACTAGGCAGCTCCTAGGCACCCTGGTTTTCGCAAACCATTTCAAATCTTTTCCTCAAAACAAATCTCATTTCTTTTCAAATCATATAAGAGCACCAATGCTCACAACATACTAACACTAGGAACGATCACTGTACGTTAGACACCGCGTCCCGTTCTACCTAGAACTGTCATTCTCAAATGACGACCTTTATGCCATACTACGACACTTGATCACCTATTCTATCTCTACCTTTCTAGGTGTGATACCCCTCAAATCCGAGACACGGGTTGATCAGGCCCACGCCCGAACTCGAGGGAATATCAAAATATTAATATTTTAAAACGAACACGGAATACAAAACGAAATAATAAATAATTAACAGCTGGAAGAAACTAAAAATAAAATCCTTTAAAATTAAAAACTTAAATCCAAAACCTCTAATAACAAAACAACTCGGGAATCCATCCATTGGACCCCTAATACAAAAATCCAAACTGAAATAAACTACAAGACCTCCAAAATTAATCCATAGAGAGAGGTCCTACGTCATCGGAAGAGTGAGTAGTAATCTCTGCTCAGCACGATCAGGTCTAAGTCTGGAACTGACGAGTACCTAAAAAATAGAAGTGGGTCAGGCCCACGAACAAGTTCGATCCTATTACAATCCAAGCAGAGACTCGATATGCATATACATTCTAACCAACTCAACAATATCTATATAGTCCGTATATATTTATATATCCACACTACAGGACTCTCACTGGACTATGCAGGGGATCTAAACCTGAGTAGAAGGCAACATGCAAAGCGCACCTGAGTGAGCATTAGTACCTAAGCCTAACAGAGTACACCTCAACCTAGCATATCCAGCTACGCATCCTGCTGCATATACACACCCTAACCATCAACTCTGAGACTCAAACTCATATCGCGGTACTATAAAAATATATTTAAAGTCCTGTTCCATCCATCCATAAGAAATCTAGTTGGTCATTCAGCTTGTGCAGCTTCTTTGACCTAACATAGATATCCAGCAATCCAGTTAGTCATTCAGCTTGTACAGCTTCTTTGACTTAAGTATAAGTAGGATTTATTTTATAATCCATTCCCTTATTCCATGTAGGTAGGATATAGTATTTTGAAACTAATCCAAACCTAAACATGCCACCGTCCCATACCGGTGCATGTAATTCAACAATCAGCAGTTGATAAAACAAGTAATAAATGTAATTATCAACTATATAGTATATCCAGCAACCGACAGTCAAACATTTAATTGTAAACATCAACTCTTTCATATTAAGCATGCTAAAACTTTGTAATTTAACAGGCCTATTTAATACTACTCCACACAGTTCCATGATTGATAATACAAATCACATATATAACTTTCAATTAAATCCAAGTAAGCATATCATATTTTACAAATTTACAGGTTTATCTTATAATACCACACAGCTGTTCAGGCGTGAATAAAACAGTTAATGTATGTATACATCATTCATCCATTATAGGCATATAATCATTTTGTAGTCCTACATGCTTATAATCCACTACAGAAACATGAACAAAACATATCTCCATTCACAGATAAGCTGCTACACATAAGTTGTGCAGTTTAAATCCTCAATCTCCAAGACAGTCTACTAATTTTCTTTAAAATTATGTATGTTCCAACAACAGACATTACTTTATTTACTATGAATTGTCAAGCTCTCTAAAGATTGAATTTGATCATAGACCTCAACCAAAACTCGCAATTACAGCTTCTAAACACATCTGTAGCATCAGAAACTAGTCCTGAACCAACCCAGAGTGTCAAAAACACAATAAAGGAGGAAGGAGACGTCTCCCCACAAGGGGAGCCGCCTCCCCCTTGAGTGAAGCCGCCTCCACCATTGATGGAGCCGGCTCCCCCTTGTGGGGAGCCGCCTCTCTGCTCCAAATCTCCTCTTCTCCTCCAACCCTATCCCCTCCGACGACATCCAGTGCATTCATCCTAAATTTCGCTACAATTGGGTAACCTATGTCCCAATGTGATCCAAAAATAGTTCAATGCCTTAGTCATTCACCGACAACAATCGGAACAAGAATTATGTAACAAGAAGTTAGAACGATCAGTTTATCCTTTAAGAACACACGCGGTTCTTAACCAAATCCACCATGTGAACCAGAGTAATATTAAGGCTTCTCAGAGTGTTATAAACTAACTCAACACGGTATATACCAGTTTACATGAATTATCAATCTAGTTACATGTATTATTTTATGCGTTACATATAAAAGATTTCAGAACAAGCAATATAACACAAGGCTAAGTTCAGTTTAAAAAATAACAGAGTCATGTAAACCAGTTTACTTTTAATCCTTATACATTCCTGGAGTTGTATTAGACATGCAAAGAACACAAGTCAACGGGATAGAGTTAGGATTAGAACTTGCCTTACACTGACGTCTTCCTAACGTCTCCGGCCAATTTTCTATTTCTTCCCTCTCTGTTGCTTCCCAGACTTCTCCAAATTACTCTCTGCCTTTACTATATCTTGAATATAGTTCTTAAACCATAGGCAGATCATTATTGGTATATTTATAGGCCATGAATCGTAGGTCAATTAAACCCTAACTGACTTACCCGACCCGTAGACCAACCTATATTGTATAAACGTCGGCTACTTAAGTTAGTTTTATTATAAAGCTAAAACCCTAACCTAATTTAATAACCTAATTATTACAACAGTGACTTTAAATGGAATAATACAATTAACAATTTAATTAGCACACAACAATTAGACAATTAAATAATTCATATAATTCACACAAAACAATAAATCAAATAATTCACATAAAATAATTAAATCAATTTAAATTCAAATATAAAATAAAACTAAAACAAATAATCAATTAAACAACCCAAATTAACAATTAAACAAATAAAAATGCAATAAAAGAAAAATTAAAATACCGAGACTATCCTTTTTAAAATTAGGGGTATTACATTCTTCTCCCCTAACAAAAGGAATTCCGTCCTCGGAATTCGCTCTTATCTTCTTCCAATATTTCAAGAAACTGCGAGCGAATGACATCCTCCCGTTTCTAAGTAGACTCATCCTCATTGTGATGACTCTACTGGACACGAACTAAAGGGATAACCTTATTACGAAGGATTTGATACCAACGGTCGACAATACGACACAGTGGCTCCAAATAGGTTGCATCCGGCTGCAACTCAATCTCTCCAACATCGATATACTGATACCGATCCTCATCTCGCAGAAATTTCCGCAACATGGAAACATGGAAAACGTTGTGTATTTTGAAACTAATCCAAACCTAGACATGCCACCGTCCCATACCGGTGCATGTAATCCAACAACCAGCAGTTGATAAAACAAGTAATAAATGTAATTATCAACTATATAGTATATCCAGCAACCGACAATCAAACATTTAATTGTAAACATCTACTGTTTCACATTAAGCATGCTTAAACTTTGTAATTTAACAGGCCTATTCAATACTATTCCACACAGTTCCATGATTGATAATACAAATCATATATGTAACTTTCAATTAAATCCAAGTAAGCATATGAGATTTTACAAATTTACATGCTTATCTTATAATACCACACAGTTGTTCAAGAGTGAATAAAATAGTTAATGTTTGTATACATCATTCATCCATTATAGGCATATAATCATTCTGTAGTCCTACATGCTTATAATCCACTACAAAAACATGAACAAAACATATCTCCATTCACAGATAAACTGCTACACATAAGTTGCGCAGTTTAAATCCTCAATCTCCAAGACAGTCTACTAATTTTCTTTAAAATTATATATGTTCCAACAACAGACATTACTTGGTTTACTATGAATTGTCAAGCTCTCTGTAGATTGAATTTGATCATAGACCTCAACCAAAACTCCCAATTACAGCTCCTAACACATCTGTAGCATCAAAAACCAGTCCGGAACCAACCTAGAGTGTCCAAAACATAACAGAGGAGGAAGGAGACGTCTCCACACAAGGGGAGCCACCTCCCCTTTGAATGGAGCAGGCTCCACACCATGTGGAGCCACCTCCACCATTGATGGAGCCAGCTCCCCCTTGTGGGGAGCCTCCTCTTTGCCTCTCTGCTCCAAATCTCCTCTTCTCCTCCAACTCTGTCCCCTCTGGCGACGTCCAGTGCATTCATCCTAAATTTCTAAGGCTACAACTAGGTAACCTATATCCCAATGTGATCTAGAAATAGTTCAACGCCTTAGTCATTCACCGACAACAATCGGAACAAGAATTATGTAACAAGAAGTTAGAACGATCAGTTTATCCTTCAAGAACACATGCGGTTCTTAACTAAGTCCACCATGTGAAACATAGTAATATTAAGGCTTCTCAGAGTGTTATAAACTAACTCAACACTATATATACTAGTTTACATGAATTATTAATCTAGTTACATGTATTATTTTATGCGTTACATATAAAAGATTTCAGAACAAACAATATAACACAAGGCTACGTTCAGTTTAAAAAATAACAGAGTTATGCAAACCGGTTTACTTTTAATCCTTATACATTCCTGGAGTTGTATTAGACATGCAAAGAACACAAGTCAACGGGATAGAGTTAGGATTAGAACTTGCCTTACACCGACGTCTTCCTAACGTCTCCGGCCAATTTTCTGTTTCTTCCCTCTCTGTTGCTTCCCAGACTTCTCCAAATTACTCTCTGCCTTTACTATATCTTGAATATAGTTCTTAAACCATAGGCAGATCATTATTGGTATATTTATAGGCCACGAATCCTAGGTCAATTAAACCCTAACTACCTTACCCGACCCATAAACCAACCTATGTTGTATAAATGTCGGCTACTTAAGTTAGTTTTATTATAAAGCTAAAACCCTAACCTAATTTAATAACTTAATTATTACAACAGTGACTTTAAATGGAATAATACAATTAACAATTTAATTAGCACACAATAATTAGACAATTAAATAATTCACATAATTCACACAAAACAATAATTCACATAATTCTCATAAAATAATTAAATCAATTTAAATTCAAATATAAAATAAAACTAAAACAAATAATCAATTAAACAACCCAAATTAACAATTAAACAAATAAAAATGCAATAAAAGAAAAATTAAAATGCCGAGACTATCCTTTTTAAAATTAGGGGTATTACACTAGGCGACACTCCTTTGAACACCGTGCACACAAGACTCGTGACCTCAGTCACAGTAACCCACTGACTAATCAAAAGAGAAATGTGCCTATATGACAACATCGCCCTCACTAGCTATAACGACTAAACCGTCAACAATCGCCTCGACCAACGCACAACCCTATCACCCACCTAATAATATACGATAAACAACTTACATTACAACAGTTTTGGTTTTTACCAGCGCTCAAAAGCGCTGGTAAAAGCCTTAAAAAGCGCTGGTAATTCAATTACCAGCGCTTCTTTAAAAGCGCTGGTAAATCCAGTGTCGGTAGGCCTTTACCAGCACTTTTGGAGAAACGCTGGTAAAGAGCTTATGCCAGCGCTTTTTTAAAAGCGCTGGTATAAGGTCTTTACCAGCGCTTTTTGGGAAAGCGCTGGTAAAGGGTTATTTGAAAATTTTTTTTTTAATATTTTTTTTCCCCTTATGCCAGCGCTTTTTGGAAAAGCGCTAGTAAAGGGTTATTTGAATTTTTTTTTTTTTAAATATATATATATATATTTTTTAAAATATATTTTTTTCCCTATGCCAACACTTCTTAAAAGAGCATTGGTAAAATTATTTACATTTTTTTTTCCCATTATTGTTTTTCGAAAAAAATTTCTTCACGGCTACTAAATGTATCCTAACACAAGTCAATATAAAAATACCATCCAAATTGTTTTTACAAACAACCACAAGTTAACCCTGCCAATATGAAAAATACCATCGAAATTGACTACTAATACCACCACAAGTTAAGCTAGTAAAAAATGTATACTAATACAACCACAAGTTAACCTGCCAATATGAAAATACCATCCAAATTGTGTAGATAAAGGTACTAAATGTCACAAAAAAAGAATTAAGAATTTTTAACAAATGTAGTACAAGTTTTTCAAAAAGAACCCATCCAAGACGAAGGAAATTCAAAAAGCACAGCCACAACCCCATCTTCAACTTCAACAATTCTTCTTGCCCATTTGATTTGAATTACCCTACATTTTTTTATAAATTCATTAAGCGCACATTATAATAAATGAAAATTTAACATATATATAAGATAAATTAAAAAGTTCATAACCTTAACTGAATTGGCATCACGATTAGAAAATGGATTTGTGGATACTCTAGGAGGAGCATTTAAAGAATCAGAATCCTTGAAAATAACAAAACAAAATACATGAAATCTTAGCATAAGTAAACATATATTTAGTAAAGAGTAAAACTAATAATAAATATACCTGTCCACTACAATTTTGTTGTTGCATCTGCATTAGCATAGCCACCTGTTGTTGTAAATTTTCCAACTTGTCGTCGTAGTTGGCTCGTAAATTTTCCAACTTGTTGTCATAGTCGGCTTGCATTTTTGAAATCGTCTTCTGCAACTCTACACGTGTAGCACGTGCCTCCTCCTGGGATTTTTTAGCATTATTAATCAGTTCAGCTTTACTAGGAGAGGGCCCCCAAACATCGCTTGGTGTAGGCCCGAAACCAAGCATTCGCACATGACCAGTTCTCTCTTCTCCCCTCACAATGGAGAACAAATCATTGGAGCTGCCAATAGGCGAGTCAGAGTAACTTTTTTGAAGTTCTCTTATGTTTTCCTGCCAAAAAAAAAAAAAAAATTTGAACTATCATGACATACTACTATGAAACATCCAGAACTGAAAACCCTAGATTCTAAATAAAGCACAAAAGAACTGAAATCTCAACAACCTATAAACATGTAATGCTTAAATATACATGTGCATGTATAATATATATATATATATATATACACACACACACACACACACACACACACACACACACCCCTAAGCTTTCATGACAAAAAACAAAAGGATTTAAATGAAGTAAATAGAGAGAAAAAAAATTAAATTTTTATCAAATTAGTAGTTCTTTTAATACATTGTGCTAAAGTATACACTTAATAACAAATGTAATCGAGTCATTATAGAAGAGAAAAAATCAAATTAGTAGTCTTTTGAGGTACCAGACATTGTGCTAAAGTATACAATATGATTAAAGAAATTGCCAACTTATGAGTACTGTTGTTTATGTCTAAATTTGAATGTCCCATCTAATTGAAGAATCTTATGTAGGTAATTGGACAAAAGACTTTGTGTGCAATTATTATTATAGGACACATAATTCTATGTCTTTTAGTTAATTAGATTCACTAGGCAAAAGTTTTTGCACCTAATATTATATTTTACTTTTTCCCTAGGTTATCATAATGCAATAGAAGAAAAAGCAAGTAAAATTGTTACTAGAATAATTTCTCTGGATGCATTTATTCTTCCAAACACTCACTATCCATAGAAAGAAGGAAAAAAAGGTGAAGGGTGAAATTGAATTTGAGTAATTTACTAAGGAGATGTGAAACCTCTTCTGTAATTGTGTTTCTTTCTGCCTTTAAGTTTGGTATACTTTGATGTAAATCAGCATAATTTCTCAGTGATCATGATTCGTGTGCGTGTGAGATGTAATAATTTGATTTTCATGGCAAGCTTTTTGAAAAAAGAATCTAAATTGGATTAGAAATCTACAGAGATTGAATCTGAAACAATTTTTATCAACATGCCAAGCTTTTTGAAGATGGAAATCTTTTCAGAACTGAAAAAAAAAAAAGAAAAAAGAATCTAAATTGGATTAGAAATCTACAGAGATTGAATTTGAAACAATTTTTATCAACATGCCAAGCTTTTTGAAGATGGAAATCTTTTCAGAACTGAAAAAAAAAAAAAAAAAAAAAAAAATTCTGAATTGGATTAGAAATCTACAGAGATTGAATCTGAAACAATTTTAACCAATATGCCAAGTTTTTTGAAGATGGAAATCTTTTCAGAACTGAAAGAAAAAAAAAAAAAAAAGAATCTGAATTGGATTAGAAATCTGCAGAGATTGAATCTAAAACAATTTTTATCAACATGCCTAGCTTTTTTAAGATGGAAATCTTTTCAGAACTGAAAAAAAAAAAAAACAAAGAATCTGAATTGGATTAGAAATCTGCAGAGATTGAATCTGAAACAATTTTTATCAACATGCCAAGCTTTTTGAAGATGGAAATCTTTTCAGAATTGAAAAAATAAAAAAGAAAAAAAAGAATCTGAACTGGATTAGAAATCTGCAAAGATTGAATCTGAAACAATTTTTACCAACATGCCAAGGTTTTTTGAAGATGGAAATCTTTTCAGAACTGAACAAAAAAAAAAAAAAGGAATCTGAATTGGATTAGAAATCTGTAGAGATTGAATCTGAAACAATTTTTATCAACATGCCAAGCTTTTTGAAGATGGAAATCTTTTCAGAACTGAAAAAAAAAAAAAAAAAATCACAAGAACTTTATAGATCATGAACAAGTGTTTAGTAGCCTTAACATAGCTTGTATATAATATTTGAAGTTGTCCACATTCAAAAGACTATTGCCACAATATATGAGTAACAAATTAACACAAACAACAAACAACAAATAGCAAATACTTCTTCTTCGCAACACAAATCAATCAACAAGAAGCCTCCACATACAATGATTCCATACTCCCATGTTTTTCAACAAATACAAGAAAGTAAATTGCCTCCATACAGGCCGATGATTTAAAAATTGGTCACTTCAAGGCACGTGACTCCCTAATACAGCGTAAAGAGTTTAAAAATTGGTCACTTCAAGGCACGTGACCCCCTAATACAGCGTACACCCCTTTTTTGTAAAATGGAAGTGTGAAAAATTACAATCATCTCCGAAGCAGCAGCATCAGTAGCTTTGCCATCCTTATTTACATGTGTGCGGATGAATAAATCTACACGAGAAAGCTGAATACATTGTTCTTCCTCAATCTATAAAAGAATACATTGTGATATATATTATTTACCACTAACATTTATAATCATTCAACGACATAAGAATTGAAATAATTTATATTTTCCATAAAAACTTCAACTAACCTCGGCAGAAACACGTGCAAAACTTTTTGTCCTTGTAGTATCCATCATTGTCTGCTTCCCACGACGTTCTTTATTTTTTTTGCTGACCTCCTACAAAAAGTGTGAAAAAGTAAAAGTTCTTTGAGTAAAGAACATTCCACCTAAAATAATGAATGAAAACAGGTAAACTATAAATTCAACTCATTGACATCAAAAAACATTGTGATAAATGGAGGATTACCTTCGCCATAGGCATACCCCCCAATGCCTAAACAAAAATTCCCAATGCTCCTTTTCAACATTAGGTGGTGGTTTTGCCAATCTTTCTTCATCTGTATCCCTAACTGAGTAGTATTCATTTTTTAACTCACACTTATACCCCTTCCATTTTTTTTCCGATGGAGGATATTGTCCATTGTTTTGTCATGATTCCCACATCATATTTTCCCTGAAAATGTGATAATTGTTATATGTTAGTCCACTTTTTCCATAAAAATTATTTTAATGTTATTGAAGGGTTTTACATTTACAATGTTCCACATATTCTCCTTCAGCCGTTTAGGCATCTCCCACTAAGTTTTGTAGCACAAAGGAGCTAATTCACCCTTCCAGGCAAGTGTTCCCAGATAATTAGTATGTGTACCACTCCCAGGACCGATCGGCTGTCCAAACTTATTAACCCTAAACAAAAATTAACAATTGTAGATGTTTAGTACAAAAATAAAGATAGAAATCCTTTTTTCTCCTTCATATTGAATATAGTCTAATTATGTAAACTATATAAGATGATCTATATATATATATGTACCTTAAAGGTAATAAGGTTTTCGCGTCTATGACATTCTTGCATTGTGTCAGACCCCGTCTCTTCTTTGGCGGTGGTTGGGATGATTTTGAAGTTGAAGCTTCGGTATTTTGTTCACTCACTTTTTCCACTTCACTAACCGTTCGTTTCATTGTCAACTTATTATTTATCCTTCCTAGAAAAGCAAACAAAAAAGTGAGAATTCAATTAAGAGAATGCAATCAAATTGTTAAAAAAAGACAATAAAATTGTAATTCAACACAACATCTAAACATCAGCATGGGCAATTTAATAACTATGACACAGTGGTAATTATTGACTCTTCTCTTCAATCTTTTCACAAAAAAAAAAAAGCGCCGGTACTGTAACACCAATACCAGCGGTTTTCCTTAAAGCGTTGGTACTATAACACTTACACCAGCGCTTTTCCTTAAAGCGCTGGTATAGGTGATACAGTACCAGTGCTAGTAGAAGTGCTGGTACTGTATCACCTATACCAGCGCTCTTCCCAAGAGCGCTGGTAAAAGACTAATCTGTTGTAGTGAGTGGTCATCTCTTAATAGTATCCATTTTCATTCAAGACAATGTGCAGACTGCTATTATAAATATGTTCTAAAAGCAACAATTATTTTTATTTTTATTATCAATTCTATACATAACACCATCTGACCCAAGGAGTATGTTTACATATAAAGTCCAATGTGTCTCCTCATAGAGGATTTACTTCAATTCAGAAGCCTTTTCATACCCAAACACCCTTCTGATTCAGGATTAATTGGATATAGCATCCATTCGACTTCTCTGCTACTTGGTGCTTGAATTCTGAACCAGTCCAAAGGAAAGATCACAAAATTTACTACTCCGTAACTAGTATGAATATTTGAATACAAACTAAAGTCGAGCAGAATTGTTAGGTCAACTTAGTTCTAACTCTTGTTGATAATTTTGTCCAAAAATTCCTTGCAATATCAGGCCAAAAAAGCCTACCAGAGATTAATGATAGTCCAAAACATATTATTGGAAGTTTACCAATTTCTATATCATGAATTAAAACTGACATTGACACCACTAAGGATAAATAGGTCATCCCACTTTGAAGACAATTAAGGTGAAATGGAAATTATTATATGCAAAATTGCAGAGAAAGCTTCATGAAGTAGGTAAGGAGATATAGGATCTACTCACCTAAGCCCTCTAGATTGTTAATATATATATGTGTGTGTGTGTGTGTAATATATATATACACACATAGCACCATTTAAGCTCACTGAAAATGTAGCAGTAGTTACACACTGTAATATTATCAGGGAAATAATAGGTTGTTAATATATATATCCATGAAAAAAAATAAATAAAATCTAGCTCACAATATAATAGGATTTCATAAGATCAACATTTATATAGAGCATCAGGAGAGCCTATGTCCCAATCTTAGTTCCTCACATGCTGTTGTATTAAGGGGATATTGTCAACTATGCTTCTTTCTTTCACAAAGGCAACCTGTTTGAATTAATGATAGACAGCAATATATATATATATATATATATATATATATAGATTTAGGTTTGCTTTTCGTAAAACGAAAAATTTGGCAATAAATTTGTATGTGGTGGTTTATTTATTTATTTATTTTTACCTGACAGAACTTTGTAGGCATTGTTACATCAAGGCATGCGTCTGATTTTTTTTGACAACTTGGATTTTGCACTTTTGATGCCAATGCGCAATGGCTATTAAATTCCTTTACTTCAGCATCCAACCTCATTCAAAGAAAAATTCAGTTGCTAGCATACCATCACCACTCACCAACCATTTTTTCTGTCAAGTATGGCTCAGCCAAGAAGCATGAGCTCCCCTGCACAAGCCTTATTGTATTAGTTTCGTAAAGCCAAGCTTTGGCTCTCAAAAGACTAGAGAAATGGATTACTTGGTACAGTTTGAATTTACTATCATATTTTTAGTGATTATTAGAGCTCAATAGATGCGGAAAGATATTGACAAATTTGTTCTTCGCATCACTATACTTCTCCAACCCCGTCTGTCCTGAAAATTAATTAGATTTTGTTGCTTGTTCTAATGTAGTTTACCCTTTCCCAAAAAAGGAGAAGTTGTGATCTCCCATATATAAACCATTTTGGCCTTAGTTTCTACCTGTAATATGCTACCTTCGCAGCACGTAGTTTAACATAGGCCAGAATAATATATTTTTCTTCTGCTATAAGCTCACTGTTTTGGGGATTATTATATGTATGCTTTTGAATCTTCTTCGATTTAATTATCCCTAGCTTCGATCAGTAGTTCAAGAAGAGATATTACTAATTAGTCTTTTATAAAAAACTTTGACATCAGATCTTAAACCTTTCCAGTTTTTTTGATATTGGGTTATCTTTGAAAGACTGATTCTATTAATTAGTCTCCATAACTAACCTAAACAGTGTATGGTGCTTAAGGTGTGCCGTTTACCATCGTCAGCTCAAAATACAATTTGTTTGTTTGTTTTAGTGAGGTAAAGGTGTAAAGCAAACACATATGCACCGCATGCACATTGCCCCACTTGGGACTTGAACCCTCACATTTTTGGGAGGAGAGGTGGTACTACCCAAGCCAATGACCTAATGGTGAATTGCAAGCCAATGATGCAAATACTCAATTTTGTAAAATATTCAACTTAAAGTGGTAAAATGAAAGTAGTCTGTGGATTGAGATTTTTAAAATATCGAATCCAGTTCAAGGGTCTTGGTTATCTATTGGAAATTAGAAGTCATGCAATTTTGGAGGACTGAAAATTCCTCATAATCTTGGATGAGTTTAGTGAAGGTGATGAACTTCCTAATCTTCATGATATTTCAGTAGCTAATGGTGATTGGACGTAGTGTAACAAGCAGAGAAAATTTTGGTGTATTTGTGCCAAACTTTATAGCCTCAAAGTTTGTGGCTGAAACTTTCCAGCATACCAAGATTATGGTATGATAGTTAACTGCCTCTTAAATGCAGCTTCAGTTCCAAAACCTTTCTAGTTCGTAAAGTTCCAAAACCTTTCTAGTTCGCAAAGGTTTGTGCCATGAGAAACACATTGAAGGCATTACTAAAAGGACTATAAGGAATAATTTTAAATGAATAGATAAAAAATTAAAAAGCCGGAAAAGCAATCTTCAATACCTTCAAATAATATTAGCCAATCAAATGTGAGTTATCCCCTTCTTGATTGCTAACGCGAAGGAAACCAGGACAAAGGCTGAATTATAATGGTCACACTATCAGCAATAGCAAGAACATAGCAAGCTTAGTGTCTTGTAGCATACAAAAACAAAAATTTTTGTTCAACTAGGAGGCAAAAGATCTTTGACTTCCATTTCAATATTCTCTCAATGTTTGGTTTCCAAAGTTTCAGAGAGTTTAGAACCCTTTTTGCAATTTGCAGTGGGTCGGTCAGTCGCTTGAGGGGTGGGGTGATTCGATGCTACGTTTAGGGAAGAGAAGACAACAGAAAGTGAAATTTTTTGAAGACAACATAATACACCTCCAACCTCAATCTAATCTGTTTAGAAAACTGGTCATAGAGCTGGTCATCTAACTTAGCATTAGTTCAAGTAAGAAATGATCATTACTTATAAGATAATGTTATGATTATCCTAAACAGGTCTATGAATTAGTTTATGGTCTATGAACTTTATTGAAGTGTATTTTTTTAATAATAATAATTAAAAATAAAAATAAACCTTTATTAAAATATGTACTTATTTTGTGACTCGGGTGGAAGCCATAATATCACAACATCCAGGAGTATCTGGTGTAGTTGTTGTTAGACTTCCAGACACTCGATTTACGGAGATGGTTGTTGCTTGTATTCAAATAAGAGACAACTGGAAATGGATTGATTTGGGATCTCATATCTCAGCAAAGAACATTGAATTTTGCTTATCCACTCACTGGCACAAACTAATTTCTAATGCGGATATCTAAAATACATAGCAGAAACAAGACATTAATCCATGTTCTTATTTTCATATTCAACGGCTATTATAGTCTCTTGACAGTGGTAAGGAAAGACAGTTATGAGGTTCTTGTCCGACCAACTTCTGTATGATGTTAAAGTACGTATTTAGAATTAAGCATAAAGTTTATTGGATTAATCCTCATATAAAGAACTTGCTTTTAATCCATATAATTTATATGGATTACAGGCCAATTCCATGAATAATCCCTTATGATTGAAGAATCTAAACTATTCCTGAATGCACTATATAACCCAGTGGAAGCCAAGCATCAAATCACAGTTAATGTTTTTATCATTCGTTCTAAACACTTATTACAGAGTTACTGTATAAAAAAGGCTGTTCTAAACACAATATATTTTAGTGTTTGACGACTTGCATGGCCATTAAGTATATACATTTATATAAAAGAACAAAAGAGCTAGAGAAGAAAATAGTAACCTGCAACAAGACAGAGTATGGAAACTAATCTACAAAATACCATGAAAACCCCACAAGAAAAAGGTACGGAAGTAGAGATATAGGAGGATGCATATCCTCCATTGAAAGCTATTCAAGATGCAATTAGCATCAAAGAAGTCAAAGAGCAGGAATCAATAGTCGTTAAGCATCACGCTCGCAACTCAAAAATATGCAACCATGCAGAAATTTTCTGTTTCATTTATGATTGATTTTTCAATTTGGATGAACAAATTCTTATTTCATAATAACACAAACACTACATATATATATATATATATATATGAATTTACCTGATTCAGTATCAGAGAGATCTGACGAAACAAAATCACCTACACAAGAAAGAATCAACAAAATAAATATGGAGCTTTCCCAATCCAAAAACCCTAGAAAACAGAGAACAAGGGAAACTAAGAAGAACAGATAAGAAAAGCAGCCGATGCCAATCCAAGCTAAAGTTTAAGAGTTAAAGTTTTCTCAATGTTGGAACAAAAAAAAAAAAAAGAAGAAGAAATTACCTGAAAAACGAAATCAGACAAAACTTGTTCCAGTAATCCAAGCTAAGATCGATTATTTCCTCCTGTACAAAGAAAAAAAAAATTTGAAAACAACAATCTTAAGTACAGAATGAGATCAAATAGTGGTTGCAGAATCATTGAAATTAGGAGGATGCGTTGTCGCGTGAAATCAAACCCACCTGATCTCAAATCAAACCCACTCGAAGCACTTCTGCCCCTACGCACTCGAAGCACTTCTTCCCCTTTGCGTGAAATTAGGAGGATCTTGTTTACTGCTTTGGCTGTTTCCGTATTCCCAGCTAGATGACCGCGCTTCTTTCCCTACGCACTCGAAGCCGAATTGCTTCAAAATCTGCTTTGGTTGTTTCCTTCGAATTGCTGTTTCCGCATTCCCGACTAGATGACGGCTAGATGATGTCTGGAATGGGAATGTGAAGTGGAGAATGGCTGAAGGATTAGGGCTATTGCAAAATGAAAGGATTAGAGGGCTTTGCAAAATGAAATGGGAAAGTGGAGAATGCAATGTTAATTCCCCACAAAACAACATAGTTTTAGGGCCCAAATTTCTCTATATATAAAATCAATGGAGGGAAAAAATAGAGGGAAGGTAAAAAAAAAATGGAGGGAAGGGTAAAAAATGGGAACACCTACACCAGCACTCCTAAAAGAAACGCTGGTATTACACATATACTAGCGCTCCTACAAAAAGCACTGGTACTATTACCATTACACTTATACCAGCGCTTCTAATAGGAGCGTTGGTAATATTTAAACCTATACTAGCACTTCTACAAAGAGCGCGGCCACTATTACCATTATACCTATACCAGCGCTTCTAAAAGAAGCGCTGGTAATATTTAGACCTATACCAGCGCTCCTACAAAAGCGCTGGTACCATTACACGTATACCAGCGCTCCTATAAAAAGCACTGGTACCATTACACTTATACCAGTGCTTCTAAAGAGAGCGCTGGTAATATTAGACCTATACCAGCATTTTTTTTAAAAACGTTGGTAAAAACCTAATATGTTGTAGTGTTATACTCTTTAATCCACCCTTGGATCATACCTTAAACCATTATACTCATCAGTGCTAAGACATCACGTCATAACGCCTCTACTACCATCATCCTCAAATGACAACCAGGACTCACATCCCACCGACTCAATAGGCTACCGCCAAGTAATCTCCCCTCAAGCACCCTTGGATGACATCATCATAACAAAGAGAGTATGCATTACTCTCGAAACTCTCCACAGCGACCACTACTTGCCACTAGAAAAGAACCTTTATATGGCAATGTCATGCTGACAAATCCCAAAAAGGAAAAATGAGCACCGCAACCGGAACACTCAAAGCCCAACTGTCTTATAAAAACCAACTACAACACAATCAACCACTAACACTTAACCGATTACTTAAACCACTCTTCCCAAGGCTATCTACACGTCTAGTTAAAGAAACTCCACATTCTAGGTTCAACATCATCACCTCTCCTCTTCATCGTTCCTCAAAACACCATTGACCCGAATAAAAGTCAAATGGGGCTACCAACTAAACCTATAATGTAATGATCTTCATTTTTTTTCATTTTTCATTTTTTTGGGATTTTTTTTATTTTCTGGATTATTTTTGTCTTGTCTCGTATTATGTGTCGGACACCGTGGGGTGTGCCGGGTGTGTTTGAGAGTTGGTTGGGGCATTTCCTTGAGTTCAGGACTCTTGGAAATGCAATGGATACCATTTCGGCTTTTTTTTTTTCCTTTTCCATTTTTCGTGTAGAGAGGTCCCAGGTGGGACCCGCTACTAGGGCCATTGAGCACGGGAGTTGTGTCACAGATCCATTACATATCATGCACTATTATTTTTAGCATATTTCATGGGTGTTGCTGGATTGTGTAGTTGTAAATTAATTTGTAAATGTATATATATATATATATTAATGTTATAATGAAAATATACTTTTTATGCGGGACCCGCAACATCACCAAGCCTTATAATGGCTTATTAACCATTTTTGGCTATCAGTTCTTCTCTCTCTTGCAGCCAGACCTCCCCTCTGTTTTCTTTTCTTTTTTCTTTGAGCTTCATTATTCTCCTCCATTTTTCGGCCAAACGGTTGGGTTTCCAATCTTGATTCCTTGACGGAAAACGTTCCTCCCGTCGTTGTCTATCACATAGTCAAAGGATTTAATTTTTGGAGGAGCAGTGATTATTTTACGAATTTTTGAAAATTTTTGATTTAATGCTTCGGAAGGGGTTTTGGGCCACTTGGAGTCAGATTCCGGAGCTAAGCCTTTGGAACAGTAGAATCTCCTCGTCGACGGCTGCGTTCCCACTGAACAATTTTCCGTTCCGCCGCCATTAACCGACGTTGACTTTTGTTGACCAGCATTGACCGCGTTGACCGGCGTTGACTTTTCCGGCCGGGGATGCATTTTGGCTACATTTGTGGTAGGGGTGTTCTAATGCATAAATTCTTATACTTTTGTGAATTTTCTTTCTTAATTTGATGTTAAGCATGCTCAATTTGTATAATTTTTGCAAGGATTGTTTAAATGTTGGAAGCGGAATACATGGCTACTTGTTAATTGTTACGTAGTGATTATATATTCCTATATGAAGATAAATTTTTGTCTTAAATGCTTATCATGTTAAATTGATGATTGATTGAAAGCATGAGTATTGTGTTTTAGAAAAAATTTATGTGGGATAGTATATGTAAAAAAATTTATTGTTGAGTTGATGATTTGAAACATGGAGCATTCTTGCATCCATTGGGAAGAGAAAATGGAAAAATGCTTTCAAAACAAAGGAAATAAATTTTTGGGAAAATATTTCTAAAAGTGTTCACGAAAACCGGACGCCTAGGAGGCGCCTAGTGGTCCGTGTTGTTAGTGTAGTCTAGAAGGGAGCATGGTTGAGCTAACTAGGCTAGATGCGATGCCTTGGAGGTGCCTTGTGGTCGTGGATAGTTAGTCAACCCTCCGTTTGTGATGCCTTGGAGATGCCTTGGGTCGGATTACACTAACGGTTTTGAAGTTGAAACGGAAATGTTTCGGAAACGGGGAGCGACATTTGCATAACATTACATTTCATGACATTGTGGGAAATTTCTGATTGGTTGACATTGGCTACATACTAGTTGTTATGGTTGAGAATATGTATTTCCCATGGTATGACCCCACTCCTTTTTACCCATTCCTTATGTGGATTCACGGGCTTATAAGAAGTGTGCCTTAGACACTTCCTACTGAGCTTATGCTCACCCCTTTATTATTAACATTTTTTTCAGGATACGG